GAGGACCACAAAAAAATATTGCTGAAGTTGATCCAAATGTTTTAGACATTGTCCCTGATTTGATGACAACAGCACCAACCATTTCTTCAAGTAACTTTTCTAAGGCGGAATATGAAGGTACTTGTATCTGATTTCATGACAACATCAACCATTTCTTTAAGGTCTGATATTGCACTAATGTTATTTTGGCTTTAAGCTAGACTTAAATATGTGTCTGCCTTTATGTAGAAAGAAAATGGATATATATTTAAGTCTCGCTTAAAGCCCAAATAACATTGGTGCAATTGGACCTAAGTAACTTTTGTATGCAGGAATATAAAAGCAATATATAAGCTTATATAAGTGATAATATATAAATAATATATATAAATTCTTTTAACTTAAATGATAAAATGATTAAATTCAATATTTTAGATCGACAAATAAAGGTTTTAAAAGCAATTCAGCAGAATGCTTCGACCAAAATTGATTACATTGCTAGTGGAGAGTGTTTGAAGACACAAAAATTACTAACATCTAATGAACCAGCATTTAACATTGACGACATGGAATTTGAAATGGATGATACAATATATGATACAATAGATAAAGAGTCTAATAATGAATCTGGTAAAACAATATGAAATATTGGCTGCTTTCGCGACAGATTCAAAATGATTCACATTAAAATAATTCTGCGCTGTGATTGAAATTTGTAATTTTTTTGAATTATGTTCAAAGAAATTTCGGATTCAATCACAGCGCAGGATCATTTTAATCTGGATCATTTTGATTGTGTCGCAAAAGCAGCTATTATTTTAAATTAAAAGCTGTTCATTTTTAACATATGAAAATAATGTTTTACAGAAAAAGAAAATTCAATTTTATCAGATAGAGAACTTAAGAGAAACAAAAATAGAAATGCTACATCACGGTCCAATTCAAAGAAACAGAAAACTGAAAGAATGACTATAATATGTGACAAAGAAATGGAATTGGCAGATATAAAAATTAATCATGAAATCGAAATATGTAAACTTAAAAAAGAACGAGAACAGTTTATTAATAAAATGACGATTAAAAAGTTGTTCTTAGAAAAAAAGAGTTACAAGAAAGAGCTAAATTAGCGAAATTTCGTGCTCAAAGAGAAATGTAAGTAATGACTTTTTCCCTTCAGTTATAAATAAAATTTTAATTTAAAAAGGTTTTTTAAATTCTAGGGGAGAACATTATATCTCAGATGATGAGTAGAAAAAAATTTCTAAAATATTCGCTGTGAATACTAAGTTATAAATAATGTTATTACATTAATTTTTATTATTACTAAATTATTGTTTATAATTACACTTATTTTATTTTATTACATTATATTTTTAATTTAAAAAGTTAAATAAGACTGAGAATACTAGTCAAAAGAAGTGAAATCTAGTTTTAAAAAATTATTATTTTTTTATATTATGTTATCAGCATTATATTGTGTTATGTTGTATTTTATTTTGAATTATGTTAAGAGTATTATATCATATGATTATCTTAGTATTATATATTATACATATTATTAACAAATATGTAATACAAAATAAAGTGTAATAAAATGACAAAATAAAATTAATGATTTACTCTTTGATTTCTAAAGAATTTTTTAAATACATTGAGGCTGCCAGAATTTACTTAAAAATTATAGATAACGGACCTCTAACTTTTCATTGACGCTATGATGATCATGACTAACATTATCAAAACATTTTGGAAAGTTTAATATAATAGAAAATGCAATCCAATATAAGATTTGAAATATATAGTTGGATTATAACGTAAAAAATGTATGAATGGAACATAAAATTAAAAATTAATATCATTACATTAAGGTTAACGAAATAAATCTCGAACTATGTTTTGCCTGACAATAAAACCATCTCCAGGTTGCTGAAGTTCATTGTAATAAAGCTCTTCATTATCTTCAATTATTACATCAACTTCTGGTTCTTCTGGAAGCACATCTTTAAAATATAGTGCTAAATTATGTAAAACTGCACACGCTGATACGACTCCAGTACATGTTACAAGTTTTAAAGACAATCCTCTTGATAAGCAAGGAAATCGTCTCTTCCATACTCCAAAAGTTCTTTCAACAACCATTCGTGTTCTTGATTGAATTTCATTATATCTTCGATAAAATTTTTATTATTAATATATGTATGTATATTAAAAAACCAGAAACTTCAAAATTTATTAAATTTCAATTTTTAATATCTAACTTTTGTTCCTCTTCATTTTGAGGATTTCTGAATGGTGTTAACAGAAATGTAAGAGCAGGATATCCAGAATCTCCAACTATCATTCCTGTTAATTCACGTTGTTGATACCGCATAAAAATTCTAGAATTTTGGAAAATTCTGCTATCGTGTTCCCTTCCTGGCCATTCTGGGACGAGATCTAAAAATTCCATGCGTGGTCCCACGATAGCCTTATACAATAAATAAAGAATAAGACAATAAAAAACAAATAAATATTAGTAAAATAGAAACATAATTTTTATTACTTTACCTGGACATTTAAAGAGAAATATCCTTTTCTATTTCTATACATTTCAGCCAGTCCCCCGAAATTATTACTTAATAATCTAATGTGTGTGCAGTCTATTGCCCCATCAATGTAAGGAAGTCCAATAGCTCCAAATCTCCCATATCCTAATTCTTTAAATAATCTGCGGTTTTCTTGTATAGCTCCTTCATGTGTCACAAATTTAACATGACTATTCAAATAAGATGCTAATATCATAGTTACTCTAAATATAATTCTACTAATTGTTGGTTGTGGTAATTTCATAAGATCTCCGTTTACTTTCTAAAACATAAAATATATAATACAATTATTTATGTCTCTTTTTAAAATTAATGATATGTAATATAGAGAATTTACTTGAAAACTGCTGGTAGCATAATATCTTAAACAAATAAGCAATTGAATAACTGGTTCAATAGGAAGACCTCGATTATCAGGCTTTGTTAAACCATTTATAACCAAAGGCAATAATCCATGCATAACAGAATTTTTTGAGAATCTATATCTTATATGAAATTCGTGTTCACGATAAGCTGTAAATGGATTAATTGCATCTCGCACATATCGTTTTTCACGTATTATGCCAATTTCTTCATTTTCGTCATTTTCTTCATCAGAAGAGGAATCAGAACTTTCAAACAAGTTAATGTCAAACTGGCCCAATATATTAAATTCCATAATACCTTTAATGTAAATATAAAACCTCAAAATAATAAATATTATGTAAATTTGTAATAAATGTATTATAAATAATTAATTAATATCGTATATAGGATTAAATGTTTATTTTTAAAATAATTTTAATATAATTGATACATAACTATTTTATTTTATATAACCTATACAGCACTTTATTTCACAACCGTCTTAAGTCTACAATTTACTGGACTTCATTAAGACCTGCTCAAGATATGGTTTGAGTCATGATTGTGCATCTAATAATTTTAAGTCGTACTTAAGATTTGACTATGAAACAGAATTTGCTTCATTAAGCATGATCTCAAGTTTCAGTTTGAAAATCGGTCTATGAATCATGAAACTATCACGATCTTAAGCACTAGAAGGTTGTCTAATCACAGTCTTCTTCTTCTTCTCTTTATGGCTGGTTGGGCTTCAGCTTTAGAGCATGCCCATACGCCATTAACTACCGACTAATCACAGTCGATTATTCTCCTGAACTTCAACTGTGATTGATCAATTTTGACGATTTACGACTTTACAACTCCTATTATAGACCTTGCATTATGTCACAAATGTCTTAAATAAGAACGTACTATTGATCGACCAATCAATATTGACTTCTAATTGGTCCAATCAACGTTTTGAAATTTTCGTAGCGTCAAACGAAACGTACCCATTATTTAGGAAATTGCATTACTCCTACATACTCTCAGCTGCTGTACATGAAACTTGTTAATTGTAAAAAACAGCAAAGCATAATGTAAGTATATATATTTTGACTATATAATAAAATAGATAATTAATATGTAATTCTGTTGAATACATATCGTGAAAATAAAAGCAACATATATATATATATATATATATATATATATATTATATCAATATATTATAGAATTTAATACATGAGTATTAGAGTATAACGAAGTAAAAGTAACCCAAATTCGCGCATTATAATATATATATATATATATATTATATATATATATATATATATATATTTATTAAAGAATGTTAATTAAGAAAAGATATTGCATTCCTTACACACATATATGCATATATACGCATGCACATATACACACATACACATACATATACACACACATACACATATATATACACACACGCACACACACATGTACACTTATTTTTATTTTTGATATTTAATATTTTTTATATATGCAACAATGATTTTTTTATTTTTCATCTATTATATCAAATATTTATTCTTTTTTCTATAATTTTTATTAAATTACATTTATATAAAATTAATATAGAAAATATTTTTTGCATATAAAATATTTATTCAACTTTACTTATAATAATATTAATATATATATATAAAATAAATATTTTTTTATTTAATATTAAAAGTGTGTATATATATATGTATAATAATATATATATATATATATATATATATATATATATATATATATATAATATTGAGACATTATATATAAACATATAAAACAATATATTTTATTATTATTGAGAAAATTTATGCTTTTATTATTTGAAAAAATATACAATTTATATATAAATCTCGTTTAATTTTTATTAAAACATATATGTTTTATTAATGATTTATTAATTTTATATTTCTACATTGCGCTTCCATTGGACAAGGAAAAGGACAAGAAAAAAGACGATAAAATCTATTTTTGAGAGTGAGTTGAAGCCATCATCGTTCGGAGCATTCAAGCGGATTTTAATTTATTCGATCACACGAAGACGAACTCACAACGTGTGCTGTTTACGCGCGCGCGACAAGTATGTCGACAATTATACATTACATTATATCATTATTGTTATTTTACCTCAGTACGTTCTATTTATCATGCAGTGGTTTAAGCGAATCTTTGCGAAAAATACGTAAGTGTGAAATATATTATTTATATATTTTACAATATATATTTTGCATCATTTCTAGTTAAACTTGACATGATCAAAACGATTAAATTTTTTTTTTAATATTAGCTATCGACAAAACTATTTATAAATAAAATTGAAAAATAAATAAATAAAATTTAAATATTGGCACATAATTAAATTTTCAATTTACAAAGTTAAATTAAAAGTTGATACCAATAATAGAATTACAAAAATATTACAGGCATATTTATTATAAAGTTTTAGTTCTTATATTTATCTTTTGCATGAATGATTTGAATACAGATTTTATTATGAAAAAGAGTGTATGGTATATATATATATATATATATATATATATATATATATATATTCATAATTATACAATATATACATATCTTTTATATTAAATAATAAAATTTTGTTTGATTTATCAAGAGAATTTAAAATAAAAGTGGCTAAAAATAGAAGAAAATATATATTAAATTGAAAAAATAATAGCAATGAAATATTGTATTAATATATTTTCACAATTGCAATCTCTAATTTTAAAATACAGAAAAATTTATAATTAAAAAAAATCAATTTCTATATATATATAAATAACTTCTTTTTCTTACAAATTAATTTTTTTATAAAGTTATTTTGTGCATTGCTCGTTATTTAGTAAATATAGATCTATCTGAGATGCATCTTACTGTAATTTTTAGCCGCGATTGAGGCCAATGTCACCAACGACGATGTCACGGAAACGCAGCATACCATTTGTAAGATTGCAACGGAGGATGTGGTAGCAAACGCACGTGCTACTGTTACAACAGTACTTACTGGAGCTTGTAAAGCAAGTGAGCAAAAATCAAAATTAATATTAAATATAATTTTATATTATTAGTATACTAGACGTATTTACTTCATGCATTGCATTAAAAATTTTAAGATTTTCTAAATTGATTTTCATATATATGATATTGGATAAAAATGATAAAATAATAATTGCACACGTAAAAAAATCTTTTTTAATTAAATTTTTGGTATCTATAATAAAAAAAAATATCTCAATTTTATAAATTTAAATAAAGAGACAATCATTTTCGATTCAATGCCAAATTAAATTTTTTTTATTCCAAGATATATATATATATATATATATATATATATATATATATATATATATATATATAGATAATTTTGCTTTAGTACATAAAAAATTAATTGTAATTTTATAACATGTATACTTCCAGAGGCGATGGATGAAAAGTTTGCAAGATTAGAAAAAAAATTAATCAAAGAATTCGCGGATATTAAATGGTTACTGTACAACATTTTGGAGCAACAACCGGATTATCTAAAAACTGTACAAAACGCTAATCTTTATGATGGAATATCTGATGATTATTTGTCGCCAAGGCAAGATGAGATCAATAAATTCAACAATACTGTACAAAATTTATCTACATCAAATGGTTAGTGCAAGCATCATGAATTAATTCTAGAGTATACATTTCAAAGTAAAAAAGTTATTATATATGTATAAATTATATATAAATTTTTGCAAATTTCTGATAACAACAAAAATAAACGTGTTTATTTATTAGTTCATAATAGCAGTAGTTAACACGTTTATTTATTAGTTCATAATAGCAGTAGTCTAAAGTTAACTTTATGCTCTCAGCTAAACAGAGAGTATTTTAGTTCTTCAGCAACTAATAGTAAGTCTAAAGTTCTCAAAACTTTGCAAGTGCTTCTGCTATTATATAACAATTTGCAAGACATATTTGAATGATATTAGTTGTACTTATTGTTGGTTAAAAAACAATTTTACAGTGACTGCAATTAAATGTGTAGTATAATAATATGTATCTCAAAAAAGTAAGAACTAAAAACAAATTTTTATATTTTATATTGATTATTGAAATTAATTTCTTCAATATGTTTATACATTGCAGAATACATTTGTAATTTTTTAAATGAAATTTTTCTTAAATATGAATCAAGCTATTATTTAATGCAAAATTTAATATTTAATATGAAATGTTATATGATTAAAACTTGAGTTAAAATTTTGAACAAATATGTTTTTATAATTTGATTCCAAAAGCTTAGTAGCAAAAATTAAATTAACTTTATTTTCAATTGCTTATAATTAAAATGAAAATGTATATTTCAGTTTCTTTAAGAACCTAAAATTAAACGCACAAAACATATTATATTTTAACTTCGTATGCGTTACCGCATAATAATGTAAATGTCATTCTAGAATAATGATCAAAAATATAATGCGGATTTTGCGTGTGTAGAATTCTTGCATTTCTTGCATAATATGCATAATATGCATTGTTACTTCCTAGTCTAAGCTAAGTATTTGTATGTAAGAGAAATGTGGTTTCATGCAAATGTAGATCTGTTGGAGGTGCGTTGTGGAAAGTTCGCCTTGTCCATGGAACGCGCACGTGACAAAGCTAAAGCTTAAGTCGGGATAAACATGATTCAATCGAAATGAATGGTGCAACAAAGTACCCAGATTTATTCGCGTTACAATATATGATTAACTCTACTTATATCTCAGTTACGTTTATACACATAATAAAAATATCGTGTAATTCACTGTGGAATCTATAAAAGCTACAATACAATTACTGTTAAATATAATTATATTATGTTATAGTCGCAACTTTTATTACATAGTGATTTTCGATTCTTTAATTAGCTTCACAATTAAAGCTTTCTCATCAAACTCTTGCTAAAAAAGACAACTTTTAGAGATATACATTAAAGGATACATTATTTGATAATATAATAATAATCATAAAAATTTCCATTAAATAAAAAGAATAATGCATCAAGAGAAGAAAATGGTTAAATATTACGTTAATATATAAATTATATAGATTGTTAAAGACTAAAATTCAAAACTAACAAGTATATATAATTATTTACAGGTACTGCGAGTGCATTTGTTTATTATTGGCAGATAAAAAACTTCGACGAGATGCTGACGAGCTGGCAAACCGGTCGATCAATGCGCAGCCCTACTTTTTACACGGGTCAGAGTGGTTATGCTATGTATCTAAAAATCACGCCGAAATATTTTCCAGACGGCACGATTTTTGTAGGAGTTGGATTGACACGTGGCCGTTTCGATGCCGTTCTCACATGGCCCTTTTCGCAAAAAATTCGCCTCGAGGTATGTATAAAAGGCACAACGATGAAAGTTCTCCGAGTCGGGTGAAGAAATAAGTCTTCGAAAATAAATCGGTAACACGCCCAAGTAAAATAAGATGTCACAAGGGATTTTCGAATTGTGCGAGTAATACAATTGTGTAAGGGACAAAAGAGAAAGGGCCTGCGGGCGGGTGGCCTTTCGATAGGGAAAAAAAGAAGAGCGCCGAGATGTCGTACTGAATTCTCATCCACAGTTTTGTGTACGACTATATTGATCCAGGCAACACCAAGTTCAAAATTAGTGCATAAGATATATCTTTTTAAGATATCTTTAAGATGTCTTTTTGATATCATATCATAAGAGATTTTTTAAAGCTGTCTTAAAAATTTCTTAATAATGATATGCGCCAATTTTAGACTTGATGTTGTCTGGGGAGAAACAAGCTCAGGCGAAACTTTCTAATGCGATAGAATGATTTCAAAAGAAGTTATTAAGTTGCGACTACATATGACGTATTTTATTATTTTTTATAATATTATAAATAGGATAGACCAACTTTTGAACGTCAAGAAATATATTAGGAGATATAATGGAACACTATATGTATATATTCCTCGACGTTCAAAAAATGATCTATATGTATGTATTTTTTTAATATAAAATGTTTTTTAAGTATTTTTTTCAGAATAATTATTCAAAATATAAGCGTAAAGTTAATGATAATTTTTTAGAAAACTTTGATTTCCAAATATTCTATCTGTATTCTATAGATGTGACATATTTTTCATACTAATTAATATTGAAATTAAATTAATTAATTAAACGATTATCTATAATAATTTATGTGATTCGACAGGTATTAGATCATTCTCTGGAAGGAATACGCGAAAATCGACGATCTCGAATTTGGGATCCAGCTACACTTTGTACAGAAAATTTTTGGGGTAAGCCCGTGAAAGATAATCCAGAGTGCGTCGGATTGAGTATTTCTAGACGTGTTATTCGATCAAAATCATTATCAATCATATCTCAACAAAATTTGAGAACTACAAGATATATGTGGAATGGAAGTGTGCTAATAAAACTTAATGTTTATCTACAAATTATTTAAGGTAAGCTATTTAATTAATTATCAAAAAGCAGTATTTCTCTTTTGCAAAAAATATACTTTGTTATTATTGAATAAAATATATGTATTATGATTTATTTTAAAAAAACAAAGAGAAAGAACGAATTAAATCACATCATTATATTAAATACTAATTGACCAGATAATGGATTTTGTAAAATTTATTGAATTACAAACCAGATCCAATTTAACAATTATTTCAAAAATATCTGGCTTTTATATTAACAAATTAATTAAGATTTTATATTTGAGAAGGGATAAAGGTACACATAAATAAATGCATAGCCATCGATCAAGATATCCCTATAAATAAATAAATATTTCTAATTCTATTCTAGCTAGCACCAATATTATGCTGATTACATGTTTATATTTTACATGCTTTCTTCGTGGACAATACATTTGTAGCGTTAAAATTGCCCTGAAAGTTGTGTATAAAATAAAATGTAGTTGCATAATTATATAATTCTCTCAATTACATTTACATTTGTTTAATTACGAAGCAATAAGCAAAAGTATAATAATTATAATAAATATTAAGTCAAACATATCAAAACGTAAGTGTTGTAAAGTGAATGCAAGAGAATACAACTACGTTCTGCCAGTTTTTTTTAATCACTTTCTAGTTTTGATTTATAATATGTATAAAATCAAATAATATAATTTCAATAACATAATTCTTATTAAATCTGTTTGGTATTGATATTATTAATTAATTAAATATAAATTAATATGATAATATACACTTAAAAATAAAAATATATGTATATGCACATTCGTCTGTTAAGATTGAAATACTGGCGGCGCTCAAACGTGTGTCAGGTTGTGTCCGTCAAAATTAACTTTCCTGTCTGTTACGTAGAGGTATCTGATTTGAGACATACACTCGCGGCATCTGCTGTAATTGATAATTGTATTCCTCACGATCGATCGCGTTCCAAGTATTTTGTTTAGCGGTATTCAGAAGAGTTCTGAATAATTGAAGCAGCGCAGAAATACGTGGTTCTTTCTTCTCTTCTCCTCTTTTTTCCTCCGAAACAAATCTGCCACATCCTGAAGAAAAAGTATTCGATTATTAAAATTTTATTTATTAAAATTTGAAAGCATTGCGTTTTATCATTCTATATCAGTATAGTTCTTACAAAACTTAGCTAAGAATTTTAGTTGTAAAAAATTTTTAATATTATAATAATATTTGTATTATACTACAAAATTATAATTTCTTATTATAAATGCTAAAAAATGAAAATTACTTCTTACCCGTAAAAGCATTGCAAAACGGTCTCTTTGGTTTGATTGTGTTCTCCATCATAAGAGCGTTTAGAAGCTGTCGGTCAAACTGCAGAAGTTAATCGCATTCTTATTAACGCAGTTTTTATTTATTTATTTATTTTTTTTTTGAAATATTAAATTCGAGTTTTCAATATGCAGAATGTTTTCCAGATTCGATTAATTTATTTATATATGACCAAGATGTATGTATATATTTTACGTAAAACAAAAGATTGTACTATTGCAATATTTCTGTCATATTCTACTAAATTTTAAAAGATTTTTTATATTTATAATAATTATATTTAAAAACAAGATATATTAATATGCATTGAGCAAACAATTAAATTGAAAAAATTATTCGTTAAAATCTGTCTCACCTTATCTCTTGAAACCTCAGTATTTGCCACTTGCAGTAGACACATGCAAACCAGCGTGCAACAAAGATATTCGGTAATCTGTGAAACAAAAAAAGGGATCAATAAATTCAAAACTATTTCAATATATTTTATAATAGTATTATGAATAATGTAATTAAAAAAATAACAGACACACACACAAACGGTGCATTTTTGTGATTCGTTTGCAACAAATATTTACGTTATATAAACATCATAGCCCGTAAATCCGACTCTTAAGCCGCTTAGGCATTCTAGATTAATTTACACAATGTTTAATTAACAATTAGCGTAGCTATGGCATTATTTGACACGCCATATAAAATGCATTTGATTTGGTTTAATTAACTTAGCGAAGATAATCGATAATAGTTTTTTTGCAGAAATATATCTTAATAGAGTGAAAAAATAATTTCATTATTATTTATAGTACTCGATATACAGCTATTTTTGTTTAATTTAAAAAAATTTTTGTTCCAATTTTCCAGTGGAAGTGTTGACAGCCATTATTTATTAACATTATTCCAATAATAGATATATTCGTAACATTTTTGTTTCAACATTTGCGTATTTTTTAGAGATAATTTTCTTTTATTTATAATTATAATATATTATTGAAGTACATCGCATATTATTATTTTTTAAATCTTAATGTTAAATGTATTAAATAAATTATTAAATTAAATTTTTTGTTAAAAAGTGAAACTTTTCTTAAATTATTGAAAATATAATTTCTTTAGAGAAATAATCTTAGAGAAGATAATATCTCTTTTATTTTATCTGGCTGTCTATATATATTTAAAAATACATCTCTTTAATTTAATCAGAAATATGATCTTGCATATTTGTATTTACTAAACTGAAAGTTGTTTTATAGATTTATATACTCGATAAAAACATCAAATATTATTGCAAGTATATTTATTTAAATAATTTGTGCTATTGTATATAAATGTTTAAATTTATATATATATATTTTACAAAAATAATAACTTAACAATGAAAATACTGCAGATATTGCATTCGTAAAAAACATGAAAGAATTCACACATTTAAACTAAATTCTAAATTATTTTGTAAACACGCAAGTTTATTATCAAGTTTTTTATAGGTATAAAATCAATTAAAAAATAAATTTTTCAAATAAAAATAAGTTCTTTATAAAAATTATTTTCAATTATTAATTATATAAAAAGTATTATAATATTCTATTTATAATACATTATTTTTATCTATAATAAAATAGATTTGTAGAATCTTTATAAATAAGAAATAAATTTGTATAAATACTTTTACATATATATATATATATATATATATATATATATATATATCTTATACATATATCTATATATACATGCATCTTAAGTTGTATATATGTATATATAAAATTGAATTTAATAATTTATATCATTGTTACGAAAACATTCATAATAACAAAAAGATTATAAATATAATATTACCTTCATATTGCAGTCTTCTTAGCAGAGAAGTTTTCAAAACTTCAAAATTCTTCAAGATTCTGAAGTGCACTCCTGAAACGATGCCTTTTCAATAAAAATTATGATCTTGATCTACTACGGTCAGTACGGATTTCACGTTTGCAAAGAGGCTGTCACACGCGGTAGAAACCGTGGCTTCTTCCTCACGTTTGTGGGGTAAAATCGCGCGACGGCTCTTCAAATACAAACCCCGTTAAACCCCCTCCATTGCGATAAGCGCTGCGGGGGTGAATCCAAGCCTGGAGAACGCATGACCGCAAAAGCGCAGGTGATGATTATATTTGATACCTCAAAATACTCTTTTATCAAGGCTGCACCTAGACTTTGTAGATGACTTGCTAATGTACTCTTACAATTACAGTTTAATTCCAAAAGAATCCTCCTTTTGTTGAATTCTACTAGGGATGCATATAAGAGTTTTGCACAGAAATGCAGTTAGAAATTAGAAAGGAAAATAAAATAAAATGTACATAGTAATATTATAATATTATAATAACGTTTTAAGTATCAGACTATATTAATTATCTTTCTCTCTCTCTTATTATTTCTATTAAGAAAAAATTATTTATATTATTATTTATATTTATAAATTAAATTTTTATTCTATTTTTCTAATACATTTAAATATTAAATAATTAGCTGCATCTAATTGTAATCCATATTTTTCTCTAAGGAAAGATATATTTTCTTTTCAGTATTAAAAAGCCTATAAAACTTTTAATATTTATTTTCTTAAAGATATTAAATTATTTTCAATTTCCTTTTGTCAGAAGACATTTACATGATTTTCTAGTTCGCATAATTTTCCGTTATCTATAATATTCGTGACTATTCACGGGGTATGCATCTTATACAGTTCCTTAGGCAGATCTCGTACATGTTGCTCCTTAAGATTCACGGATCATTAAGTTATGGATTACACAATTTAACAGAAGTTTCATAACTATATTCTACTATATTTTACTGCATATCTGTGAGAGAACTCGTTCTCACTCTTTGTTATGACACTATACTATTTGATTGTATATTATAAAGCAATATTTAATACAGAGCGTTTAAAACTATTGAAATACAATAACGAGTGATTTTTTTAGATTTTTTTATATAGCGCGTAATCTATAAAAATTGAATTATATGCTGAAAGAATGTAGGAAATAAAAATCGATGTATATTGTATAAATTGTTGAGGGTGTACGTTACAAATAACAAGCGTCAGTGTATATAACGTATTAATTGTTTTATGATTTAATTTTAAACGTTATTTTAAAATGTTACGTTATTATTGATTTAATCAATTTTAATCTCGATTCGATCTCTATCTTTAATTTATTTTTTACAACTGACTTTTTATTAAGTGTAAATACTCGATCAAATATATAACATATTTTTTTGATTGCAATGAATTTTCATATAAAATTCTTTGATTAATTTAATATTAATACTTTCTAAAAATTTCAAGACATTAATAGTTTATAGACTTGTATTTAAAAGAAAAAAGCATTTTTGTAAATGATACTTTACACGCGTCAGCAGATAACAAAATCCTATTTTTAATTTACATATTCAAGTAAATGCGTTGCATTAATACAATTTTAATTTCATATTTAATTGCGAACATATTTAATGAGTTGTGAGTTAAAAAATTGCATCGCGCAAATAACAAAAAGGTCAAAATGAAGCTTCTCTTAAAAAGGAAGAACATTTCGTTCACAAAAATTCACTTGAAATTATCAAAGAGATTGTCATTAAAATTTACAGTAAAAACGAAGCATCACGTATGCGCATCATGTATAAACAACATCATAAATAACGAAGTCACTCTCTTACGAAAAATTTACGTTAAAGTGAAATGTTAGTTTACGAATTTTTAAATTTGGATTAATTCTGTCTATGTACCAACGTTAATTATATTGCAACGTGTTATACAGACTGCATCATAAACAGAGATATATCAATTTCGTGACATAAATTTTACAAACTACACTTTCAAGCAATTATATTTTATACTTTATTTAATTGTTATACTTATGTAATATATATATATATATATATATATATATATATATATATACTCAAACTATTTATTATATATTATCTATACAATAATATAATTTATACATAATTATAGGCAAATTAAAAATAAAAGATGTAATAATATCTCAATATTGATAAGATAATAAGAAATATTTTACTTAAATTTTATATGAATTAAATATAAATGCATTATCTTCTTTTTAGCGTTTAGCATACAAGGAATTAAATATAAATGCATTATCTTCTTTTTAGCGTTTTGCATACCTACGATTTTAATATATGTATACAACAATAAATGAGGACTTGGATTATGCAAAAAGGTCAAAATGAAGTGATTGGAACTGAGGATTAGTATTGATTAAATCGATGCCAGGAAGCGAAGTATAACAGGTCGGGTAAGAGTCTTCGTGTAAAAATCGTAGAAAAAATAGTCGAGCTTAAGTACTTACATCGTTCCCACATCAGAGCCCGCTGAGTTAACGATTAGATCGTTCAACCTAGTTCGCCAGTGGTTGTACATTTTTTCTTTTTTTTTCGTTGAAATTTTCGACTACATGCTTATCTGACGTGACAATAAATATTTGGAAACTGCAAAAGATGGACCGACGAACTAAACAATCGTCCAAGATCAAAGATTATATACTCATTTCAATCACATATATGCGCAATATATATATTTAGGGCTCTATTTATATATAATAACAAATAAATATACGTAATAAAAATAAAAATAATATTTATATAGAAAAAATATATACATATATATGTAATAATAACCATGGTTAATGCTTCTCGGTAAAAAATTTTTTGTATAATATATCATATATAAAATATAAAATTATATAGAAATATATAAAATTCTATGTAAGTTATTATGTATATAGTTATATATATATATATATATATATATATATATATATATATATAATTATACGTAACTTATATAGAATTTTATATATTTCTATATAGTTTTATATTGTTATATTGTATATAATTATATATATATAATTTTTTATGGGGTTAAACAATGTGAAAAGTTATTGTTTTTTCAAATAAATAGCGATCTTTAATTTTATGAGATATAACTGCTGAATATAAGCGCTACTAACAATAAAGTTAACTCAAGTATAATCATTATACTGATCCTTGCAGTTACTGGATAATAGATCACTTATGAATAAGAGATGCGTCTTATGCAAAATATTGAATATATATAAGTATAGCTGTCTCACATAAAGGAGCAAATAAATACATATATTTATAGCAGTCTGCATTATATGTTAAATACTCACAAGACCATTCTCAAAACGTTTACTGATAACCATTATTGAAATAGTGAATTAAAAATACTATGCAATTTTAAACAAAAATATTAATCTTTTAAATAAAATATTAAATTTTTTACTTCTCAGAGAAAATTAATTTTTTTTCAATTTTAGATAATTAAAATAAATATAAATAGCAAAATTTTAAAAACAATTTCTGATTTCAAAAACTAGAAATTTATAATTTAATAAAACAAAAATTGTGCTATTAATTTTTGTTAAATTTAGTTTTACGTAAAAAAAACAGAATATGAAAAATATTTAACCGTGTATATCATTAATATAAAAAATATCAATGAAAACATATATATGTATATATAATATTATTTTTTTTTTAATTTTATATTATCAATTATTATTATACATTATGGCATAATATATATCATTTAGAGAGTTCAATATTAGTTATCATGGTTTTATGCATATATATATGTGTATCTATATACATATATATTTTTTATCTATAACTAATTGTAAGCGAAATAGCAATACAATATTGACGACACAGTTTTCTAATTCGCCCGGATAGCTCAGTCGGTAGAGCATCAGACTTTTAATCTGAGGGTCCAGGGTTCGAGTCCCTGTTCGGGCGATTTTTTTTGTTTGCGATTCGTAATTTATATATATACATACACACACACACACAACTATTTACTTTCTTCCTCTGCAATATTTAATATTTTTTGTAGATGTTTTACATATAATAATACTTAATAAGATAATATATTAAAATTTATTTCTCTTTGCTTAATCCATCATAACACAATTAGCATATCTTAGTTTTTCATCTATTCAATTTAATGTTTCAAAAATTTTATATATATATATATATATATATATATATAAACTAAGAGATAATTTAAAGAAATATATATATATATAAAATATATAAACTATACGAAAAAAAATAAATCTTTCTTTTTTACATCTCTCATAAAATGCATTATTTTTCTTTAAATATATAAAATTAGAAATGTATTTTGTAAAAATATATATGTATTTTTATTTGAAGCTTTTCATTTTATAATTACATGTTATACTTTGAGGCGAGTCTTTTTTATATATTTCATACATAACAATGTTTGCTTATTTTACTGCTACAAAACATATTTTTAAGAATATTGAGCAGTTTATTTTGAAGACATAAGTTTTAATTAATTATAAAAATAATTACAATTTATTTATACAACAGTAAAGAAAAATATTACAAAATTAAATAATTATATATATAAAATTATATAATTATTATGTATCTTTATATAAATTATATATATAAACAATTGAAAGGAACATAAAAATAGGAATATAAAAAAGTGACAATATAAAATAATGCATAATAAACTGAAAATTAATATTCGAAAGAAAAGTTAATCAAAAGCTTTGCTGATATAATATTATCTATAAGATTCTTTATATTTGATATATGTAGATATATTATTTCCCAATGATAGAAAATGTAATTTGCACACTGATATGTATTAAGTCTTTTGAATATTTAAACTTTGTTCCTTTACACTACCATCTGGCATACCAAAAAAAGCTTTTTCAGCCATATTTATAAATAGACCAGTTTCTACAACTCCAGGTATTAGCAATATTTCCTCATTAATTTTATTCCAATTAGTTAAATCTTGCGGAAAGTGCCAGTCCAAAATAAAATTACCATTATCAGTTATTACTGGACCCTGTAAATAAAATATATAAGTTACCTATATATTATTTATGTTCATTTAATGATAATTTAAATAATGAAAATATGCTTACAGCTTTGGCCAGAGCCATTCTAATTTTTGCAGTCCCTCCATATATTCTTTCAATTCTCTGCTGAATCGGCACATATGCCATAGGAACTACTTCAATAGGAATTCCTTTTTTATACTGCTCGCCAAATTTTTGTGAATTTTTTCTGAAATGTTAAATATGTAAAGAAATTATATAATGTCTGGAGTTAATATTAAAGTAAAGATTATACTTACGTATAGTCTGCTATGACAAGAAACTGTTGAGCACAAGAAGCAACAATCTTTTCTTGCAATAAACATGCTCCACCACCTTTGATGAGATTCAATTCGGCATCAACTTCATCTGCTCCATCGATTGCACAGTCTACCTGCAATCATATTAAAATCATGTATATAAATATATAGTAAAATATATAACAAGTTAAATATATAGTATAATAAAAAATATAATGTATAAAAAGAACATTTCAGAATTACCTTTGGATAAGTTTCCAAGTCACCTAAAGTTAGATGATTATCTAATATAAGTTGACGAGCTTGAAATGATGTAGGAATACAGACTACATTGAGTCCTTCTTCTTTGACACGTTCAGCTGAAAGCAGAAATCTTGTAAGCACATTTGCGAAATCTATTAAATTTACAAAATAATTAAGTGTAATATATATATTATTAAAATATTTTACTAAAAGAATAAAATATTATTACAAATTATATGGGAAACTCAATCTAACAAGTAATTTTATGCAATAAGAATAAAATGATGTAATAAGAATAAAAAAATATGTTGACGTTGATTGATGAAAAGGTCAAATGTTAATTTAGCCATTTGCATTTCAATAAAACAATTCAGAGAATAATGCATAAAATATACTGTAATATCAGAGTTTAAATTTTAAAATTAAATTAAGTTAAAAGTAGGAAAATAATCTTCTATCACAGCTATGAACCAACGCATCACAATATACGTTATTAATCATTTATTTTAAAAATTATTTTATATTAAGAAAATGGATTTTTCCTGTATACATGTTTTTCTTTATAAGGACATCATATATTGATGCACAGAAAATTTGATATTTAATTATGAAAAAATGCTCTTTTATATACAGTTTTACTGACAACTAAATGTTTTCTTAAAACTGTTTGATAACTACCGATTGAATATTTGTAATGTTCCAAATGTATATTATATTATTCTCGAATAAAATAATTTCCAAATAATTAATATGAAATAAATAAAAAAGAAACGTCATCACATTACCAAGTCTATGAACGGCATAAACTACAGTAGATCCGCTACCGATTCCGACCACAGTATTATTCTGAAAAAGGTTGGAATATTAATATAACCTCACTTGAACAGTTATATATAAATCTTTTTAAATAAATCAGCTTGCCTGGACATATTCGTTCACAGCTTTGTAAGCCGCAATTTTCTTAGCACTTTCGAGCGGACCCATCTTTAATAAACTTCTCGGTATACCATGCCATAATCTGGCGGCTATTTGAATGGGCGAATGAACCATGTAAACTGATGTGAACACAAATGTCCATTAAATTATCTCTATTATCTCATATAAGCACTTATAAGCACAATAATAATAAAGAGTGATGGCTATAAAAGCGCATCATATTTTTTTATATTATATTATTATTATTATTATACGAATTATGTGCAAACCTGCATGCATAAGTATTCGATTATTATTAAATCGATTGTTCAAAGTATCGAGAAAAATTGTTCTTTAAAAAAAATCGATTTTTGAAATTTGTATTTATTTGCGAATGGATTTTTCTAAATAATTTTGAGATTTCATGAAGACATATATATAAAGTAGAACGTATATAAAATTAATGATAAGAAGATATTGCAAAAGAAATTGTTAATTGTTTCAATAAAAAATATATAAATTATTAATATAGATAAATAAATATTTTCCGTAGTATTTGTTTTATTTTCCTTACTGTTCATTTTTGTAATAGTATATTAATTTCAATTTTTTATACTCAGGTTCTAATTGTTATAAACAAACACAAAAATTCCTAATTTCTGGATATTGAGATTTTCTCTCATATTCTATACATACTCTGATAATAAAAATACATATATTGCGCTATAACATAAATATATACGTCAAATAACTCATTTCAACAAAAAGGATATGTGTATTATATAAGAACTATGTGTTCTCACGTTTATATTTATATATAATATATAATTATTGCGAATGAGCATGAGTTAAATTCGCTTTATCTCCACTCATACACATTGACAACGCAATATTACAACGCCGACACGACATTCCCTTCATTATTTTAAAGCGATTGATAATTGTCTAATATATTACAATCAGGCATCCCATGTTGAGCCATCAATAAGATATACACAAATCTTAAGATTACTATAGATTATTAATTATTGATTTTATAACATTAGAAAAGAAACATATATTAATAATAAAGAATGTAAAACAAACATTATATTAAATTTAAAGATTTGACAAAGGATTTTAGATTTTGTTTTAATATTCTCTTTATAAGCTCTCTACTTTCTTTTGAATTCCATCACATATCTATTGTATTATCATCTACACATATACAACTGTATTATTTCAAATTTACTTCGACACGTGCGTAAACATAATATATTGTATGATGTATACTCATAAACGATATGCTATCACAAGCATCATCTGTCTCTTACGTATATGTTATTGTATAAATATGATTATAATTGGTTATTATGCATAATTATCAATACAAAAATAATTATAAATTTCATTAATTCAAATCGGCAATCTTACAATCTTACATAAATAAGATTCATAAAATTATATAATTTTATATTTTATATATATATATAGTTATTAGATCAAATATATCAAGTATTATTAGTTATATCGCATGTATATTATATAATTGTCATAACTGCCAAATTCAATCAAATTTATAGTAATAACATATATATATATTTATAAATATATAATCCATTTATATGACAATGGTACATAATAAAGGAAAGAAAATATAATTAGGAAAAAATGCTGAAATAGCTTTTATAAAATCTAAACTTTTTAAACATTATTTTATGTAATATATATAAGAGAGACCACAATTTCTCGAATATAAATAAAATACGCAATGTGTCACATTTGAATTTAATAAAAAAAAAAAAGGAATTTAATGTCTATTAAATGGAAAATATTAATCACTCTGAAAATAAACTAAAAATAAAATAAAATTAATTTGGAGTTTTTTCTATTTCTGAATACAGAGACTTCCACAGTTTAGACATGAATTGTTAAGAAAATTCAATTAGAATTGATTCGGTCAAAAATATAATAATATAATAAATCCGCTCAAATATTCGCTATTTGATAATTTTACGTATGCATATGTTTATTAATTAAGATTAGCTCAGTACAGTATTAACTTCATTGGAGCATCATGCGCAAGATTTTCGCAATGCAGACACATCCATCTCTTAAAGAGGGTAGTCGATCTCTCTCATTAATTTCTCAGGCATCCTGCATTAAGGCAATTCAGTGCATCCCGTTTAATTTGTTTCGGATCTATTTCTTCGTAAACTGCAACTAATTACACAGCATGAAGTACAGGAGTGTGAATAGCTATCCGAAATAACACTCGTTTAAAGTGTACACACATGTCGAATATAGATAAAGAGATAAGCAAAACATTCAGGAAGATTAGAATACATCAAAGAAACGGTAATTAAAAAGTTAAACATGTGTTCCTTGCATACACAATTTGTCTTCCTAATTTTTTTAAATTTTTAGTTTCGAAGTTTCTCAATATCTCGCGCACAGAAAATAAGATGATCAAGCTCTGAAGTTCACACTATCATAATATAGATTCACACACTAAATATTTTAACTCTTTTTTTTACGGATCTCTACACGATGCGTGTATATATAATTTTTGCACATTTTTTTATAAAATGTTACACGCTTTGCAGAACCACCACATCTTACTGATACACGCTCACACGGGATATTAGGCGAAAGATATAATTTAAAAATTAACAAAATTAATGACAGGACAGAAAATTATGTATGCGACAATGAGCATGCAAGAAAAAGGGCAGTAAAATATGAGAAAGCAATAAAAATTTGAGGAAAACAAATAATGCTTATGTATACAAATATTTTCGAAATCTACTCTGATTGTGAGTAAAAATTTTACAAATGCATCACATGCATACTTTGATAGAATATATTACCGATGTCTCTTTGTTGTGTTGAAAAAATAAAAGAAACAAATATATTTATATGAAAAATATTATATATATACTTGTGAGATTATGCTTCTCTTGCTTTCAAAAAACTTTGAAAAAAAATTAAAAAATGTTTTTCCATTACCGCGATTGATTCACAATAAAACATTTTATTCTATGCTTCTTAAATATGTATTAGATATATATCCCAAGTATAGCTTTAAGAGAAAACAATTATTTTTTAAATATTACAATTATATTTTTTAATGCCTTAAAATGGAGTATTTAATTTTAAAAGAAACTTTATTCCACAACTATATCGAATTATGATGTACAATTACATAATTTACAATAATCCGAAAAACAATGATCTCTAATAAAGCATTTAATTAAATATTAATAAAACATTTAATACCGTTTAATAAGAGCGCCAAAGGCTAAACTATCTCGAGATATTAATTTATAAAATTACCGTAAGATAATAATTTATGACAAATAAATGTAATCTCTCTCCACTTTATGACATCATCTTCTTATGCCTTGTATAATTGCCAAGGGATGGTCCGCGATTTATTAAACAAATTTAATTCGATTAAACATCTGTTTAATTAAGACAGTCTAGTATATAAAATTTTATCAGCATATCTTTATCCATTTTTTTTCGTAAACTTTTCGCTTTTTTGACATGTACAAAGTGCTGCAACAAGTAAATTTTATTTAAAACAAATTGAGAAATAACGGAAATTTATAATTTAAGCTACAAATAATAATTGTAGACTATATATATAAATAATATTTTCTTATACATTATACCAATGATTTATTGATTGTAAAGCATACAGAGGAGTCTCTCTCTATTATAACGAGGTTTAAATCTATGTAGTCATCTGAAAAATATGCAGTAACATTGTTCTGCATTGTTACACCATTCGTGACAATTCATTTATTTATCTCTACAATAGTTTTGTGTATTAATCTTTCACTATTAGTGCGCCGGAGAAGTTATCTGAAGATTAGTTTTTAACAATTTAAAAGCGTTAATATTACGGACCAACCCAGGCGTTCATATATTTTTACTTGAAAAAGAGAATGCATATCGTGTTTTAAAGTACATAGCACATTAGCAGTCGATCGTTCGATAGAATTTATGCCGCGTATATAAATTAACAAAGTTGTTAGCATTTTTTCTTATATTGTAACAGCAAACATATATAATGTACATAATGTAATTTTGAAAAATTTCATTCCTGTACATATTCGTCTAGATTTGCTAGGTCACAATACATATTCTCGTGTATTCATCCCTATTCTTTCGATACTTTGATAACTGAATAGTGAACGCTAATGTCGCTGTCTTCGTAAGGTCTTTCTTTTTACAGCACGTTTATTCGTCAACACCTGCTCTCCAACGGGAATAAGAGATAACGCCGTATCATGTAGTAGAATGTCAGTGTGGAAGAACGTGGCAAGATTCGTTCGAAGAATAATATCCACGAACGAATTATATATATTCCAAGAATGACTGCAAGAAGTGAGTTATGTACATTATTATTCCACAGATATGCCACAATGGCCAGCACAAATCAGTTCTTGCCCTTATTCCATGTCACATAACAACAAAGATGGCGAGATTAAAGTTCGGAAAAGTAGTAATAGTAGCAGGGCACAAGAGGATGAGGATGAGGAGAAAAAGGAGAAAGAAGGGAGGAGAGGGCGTTTCGAATAATTATTAATATATATTATAATAATAACAATGATGAGGTGTTCTAAACAGTGCTAGGACTAGTGCTAGAGGGTCCTGTGTGAGGAATCAGGATGGGTGGGTATACAGGCTAAGAAGGGGTTAGTGTGGGGGTGGTGGCTCCGTAGATTGGTTTCTTCCATCTACAGCCCTAACCGGCTTCCTACGCGAAGAACCTACTCCACCTCTGACATAAGCAGGCGCCGGAGCTGCTATCGGTTCCCTGATAGTTCCAGTACCAGTATTCCTAATTGGTGGCGGCAGTGGTGGCTGCAGTACCTACATTACACGAAATTCTATAAGGACTCGACGTTACTATTTGTGTATCACATTGTGATTTTCTATTGTATTGTATTAGTTATTGTTTTGACATACTATATCTAGAACTAGATATAGCATGCCAATGAAATAAGAGGAACATTCTATGGCCAGCATTATATATATATATATATATATATATATATATATATATATATATATAACAAATCTTAAATAGGTAATTATTAGAAAGATAAATATTAGATATAGCTACATCAAGTTCCAAATATATCATATATATATTACTTTCATTCTTCATACATTTTTTAATAAATTAAAACAGAATTAACTGAAAGATATAAAGTATGGGAAAGATAAATATTAGATATAGCTACATTGAGTTCCCAATATATTACATATATTACTTTCATTCTTCATACATTTTTTAATAAATTAAAACAGTAAATATTTTAAGCTGTACATATATTAAATGCCAGAAAAATGAATGCTTACCAATGGAGGCTGTGGAGGTAACAGAGAACTTTGTATCAATGTTTGAACTATAGTTGAATTTTGCGTTGCAATGCTATTAGGATTCAGGGGTAAGCCCTGATTTTGCAGACTTGAGCCCATGCTACTAGTTGTTGTAGTAGCAGCAGCAGCAGCCTGCAGAATATGTGATTCTTTTTGTTGCACAGATGTTGTCATGTGTTTACTTGTAGCTTGTTCCCTCTTTGCTTCCTGAGCTAAACTTGATTTCTTCGTGGGGACAATGGAAGTATTGGCATTTGGTGTTTCAGGGCTGGTCGTGGCAGTAGTCGCATTTGATGCCGGCGTTTGCACAGTACATTGCTGTTGCATCAACTCTGGCAATGTTTGGGAAAGCGTTGCAACAATAAGTTCACGTGCAAAAAGACTCCTATTTGCACTCTCGCGTTCAATACTTTGCAATTGTGAATCAGACAGCGTAGTCGTAATGCATCTACACAAATGTGAAAAAGAACAGTGTAATTATCAAGTATAACAATAACCAAATTTTACAATACTTATTAACAGCAATTTGCTAAATATATACATATATTTTTTGCTGTTTATGGGTATATTTAATTTTACATACTTATTTAAAATTATTTATAAATTAATATAGATATTAAATAACATTTAGTAATATTAGTGTAATAGATAGTAAAACATTATATTGTATTACAACTTGGAAACATAGATGTGTATTTAAAAATATAAATATAAAAAGAGGAAAACATACCTGGGTAACAGGAACATAATGTTCTGTGAATTAATAGAAGATATACCAGGTGGATTGGCCGCATTAGTCGCATTATTATTACTACTGGTATTTGATGCCCCCATAGCAGTAGAATGACCACCGGTACCACCACTAGCACCTCCACTGCCACCACTCACGGAACCAATCACTTGTGTCTGTCTTCTACTAGGTAATCGCTCGAGTTGTTGTCTAGCAGCCTAAAGAAGTAATATTTTATTTAATTTTGTTGCTTAATTTGTAAAAAGTTATTAATTCTTCCACTATAAAGAATATTGGACAAATATAAAAAAGTGATTTTTATCTCTGAAGGCTGATCTCTTTTTTTTCTTGCATAAAAAAACAAGGGCTCATTAGAATATAAATAATAATTATACAGAAAATTCATCAAACATAGATAAAAATTATGAAAAAAATATATATATATATATATATATATATATATATATATTTTTTATATATCATAAACTTAAATTCTTACATAAAAGTATTTGAACTTAAATTCTTTACATAATCTTAAGGTAAACGTTTCGACTTACTTCTTGGTGGCTTCTTGAAAATTACACTATTGTTAGAACATGTATTGATAGTTTGCTCGTCATGATCGCTATTTTTAATATACCGTATTAATTAATTTAGTTTATGTGGGGATAGTTTGTATTATTATACTAAGGAAGACTAAGTAAGTCAAAACGTTTACCTTAAGATTATGTAAAGAATTTAAGTTCAAATTTTAATTTTATGTAAGAATTTAAGTTCATGATTTATAAATAAATTTGAATTTATTATATCACACCTATTCGTTTGCTCGTAAGTTGGTCTTGTATTATTTTTATTTATTGCATTATACACACACACACACACACACACATATATATATTATATATAAATTATATATAATTATATATATGTAGAATATATCTAAATCACATTAACTAATACAATCACACGCATTAATCATCAATATCTTACCGTAATGGAAAATGTAGATTGCCAAAAATTATTAAATTATTAATGCACTATTATATTTCGCTTATTATTGTCAAAATTATTTCTCATTCTTGTTTAGATTAGTTCAATCAAAGTTGAAGTAAAAATTAATCAGAATTCTTAACAGTTTATGATTATAGCCTGTTATAATTTTGTTTTTTCTATTTTTCTTTATTTGCCCTGCCTATTTATAAACATCTACTCTCGCATTTAGAACAATACTTGATAGAAATAATATCATATCAATGGAAAAATTTAAATTGACAATAAGTACATATGAAGGAATAAGTTCTATATATTCTGAATATGATTGTGAGAGCAATTATCAAAATTATTTTTTATCGCGGTTGATTTAATACTTCATAATTTCTGTTAATTTTCTTTTATGTTTAATGTTTTCTTGTTTTTTGTGACAAACATTTATAACTATTAAAATGCACAGCTCTAAGTCCTAATATGTTTTAATGTTTGATTATGATGCATTCTATTACGAATTTAATAATCAAGCTTAATGCATTCAATCCAAAAGACACAATATTAGATATAAAGGATATGTATGATGTAAATTGTATATATTTGAATAAATATTGTAAAAACATGCATATTAATTTTTGTTATGATAAAAAATAAATTTGTTTATACCCGGACTTGTTGTCGTTCTAATTGCAATTGCATTTGTAATTGCTGTAGTTGCGAAGGTGCCGATGAACTTTGTCCACTTCCACCTCCGCTTCTACGTACTCCTGACAATTGGGACAGCAATTCCGCAATTGGATCTATACCTTCCCGATTACTCGGGCTCAATCCTCCAGATGAACTGAAATGCATATTGGACCTGCAGGTCCAATGATAGTCGAATGAACATTATCTAAGATGTGGTGATGATAAAATAATGATAAAAACTATACTTGCTAATCATATAGTAGCTTGTTAAATTTTTATCAAAGAAAAAATATTTAAAGTTAATTACACAATTGCATTTTCAAACAACATACGATATTTAAAAAACTGGAATAGTTTGTATATAAAAATTCGTAAAGAAGATCTAATAACAATTATTATAAAAACTTGTAAAACAAAATTATAAATTATAAGAGTTTTTACAGATAATAATCATAATGATGAGCAGTAATCACATGAAATTTTATCCTAATTTATAATTTACTATAGTACTATTTGATAAAAATATTCGATAAATATACTGATATAATAAATTAAACATATTGATAAATAAATCACAATTATTTAAAAATATATCCGTAATGTTTATTACATACCGACGTGCGCGCGGTGCTCCAACAGCTCTAGACGGATGAGGTATCCGTCTAACTCCATGCCTACTTGCAGATGGTTCATCCAGGAAGGAGATCAGGTCCCTTGGTCCGCTACGATGCTCTAGTGTCAAGTGGCCAGCAAAATCATCAGTTACATGATTAGGATCTCCACCTGGCACTGCTGCACATACTGGACAAACCTGTGATAAAAGTGCACAAGTTTTATTATACTTACATATAATCTTGTATATAATTATTACAATCGTTCATAAATATTATATAATAAAATATTTGTATTTCTCTTTAAAAATATATAAATGCACGTACTTTAAGTAAAGATATATATACATACAACTTCAAACGAAGTATCAGGATGCTCAGCAGCAACATGCTCTTGTAATGTAGCTTCAGTAAAACCCATTTTCGCACAATAAGGACAAGTTAAAGATTGAGGCTGCTCCACACTCACTCCTTCACCACCATAGTATAATTCTATTTGAAAGTCGTTTAAAAATAAATTAAATGTTTGATAATTAAAATTGATAATTGCCTCCCATTTCTCTATATAAATTGCTTGAAAAACTTGAGGCAGAATGTTTTTATATTTACAAATCTCAATATTCTTAAAGTAAAATTAATGAGCAAAGTTAAAATAATTACATAAATAAATTTTATTTAATTACATTACTAAAAAAACTTCTATTATTTTTCGTTTTTCCATTATTTAATCAATTATTAACATTTAATATATTTATTGAAATAATCTTTCTTAATTTGCTAATATATGTGTATAGAAATATGGAATAATACTTGTAAAATATTCATTAAATTGAATAAATTTATTCAATAAATTTAATATTATATCTTGATAAATGCCTTACCATAATCAACTCTAGTAAGTATGCATTGCATAGGATGATCTGTGAGGTGACGTGTGGTACTAGCACCTCCTTCAAAGCAGCTGGCACATAGATCATAATCGTAGCATACAAGGCACTTGTATCTACGACCTCGAAAATTTCCCTTCAAGCAGGAATCACAGCTTACCCCTAAAATAAATATATTAAATTAATACATAGAAAAGTACTGCATAAAATATATCATATAAAGTTTCACAATTTTAAAATATTACTTTATTTTTAATTTATCATTACATTCAATATTTTTTATAAACTTATTTATTTTTACAAATTTATTGTTATATATAATATATATAATATATATATATATATATATATAAAAAATTCTAATTTCTATTATTTTTTATAATAATAAATAAAAAATATAATAATAGCATGTAAAGTTATAAAGTATGTCATAAAAATTTGTTAATTTTGTATTTCACTTTAAAAGCTAATGAGAAATTTTAGTAGAAAAAATCAATGCCAAATAATTTTTTTAAAAATCTGCGTTAAAATCTATATACAGTATTAGAATTTCTATCACATATTATAAAACTTAATGTATTACAATGTATTTATATGTGTAAACTACTATTGCTTTATTAATATATAATATTACGTATTTTTAGTTCAGCAGTATGTATAGTAAATAATAAATAATAATAATTTTAAACTGCCTTTGAAAGAGGCAGAATGTATGTGTGTATGTGTAACAAGAAATATATGCGAATAAACGAGACAAAGGATTAAAAGAGAAAGTTAATGTAACATTTGGATATACTAATCAATAAAATTATTTATAAATAATATCTTCAAGAAAAATTTCTGTGGCTATTTCTACAACTTAAATATTTGAGATTATATGTGTATTTTGAGTAATTTTATATTATACTATTATAATAAAAATAAATTATATTTAACATTCTTAACAAAGTTTATTCTAATCGTATGCAACTTGAGAACACTTTTAACTTTTCAATCAAGAATTAAAAGTCAGATGACTATAAAACTATAAATAGCAATGTGTAGCAAAGCGAGTCATAGTCTTGTAACAATGGAAAACAAGATTTCAGACATACACACACACACACACATATATATATATATATGCTTAATTGTGATAAATACACATGTGAATATAACTAATTCACATTTTATAAAATGGTATAAAATAATTGTTACAAATATTCACATTTATTCACAATAGCGACTAAAATCTATATATATGTGTAATATATATGATCTGATTTATAAAAAATGCTCTACATAAAATTAATGATACATCATAAATGTTAAAATTCCTAAGTTTCTAGTTCAATTTGATTTATCATCTTTATATATATCAGATATGATAATTATATAACAAATATAACACATACATTGTACCTTTCAAAGTACGAGTTCTTACATTATTTACACTTTAGATCTTTACACGTATTTGTTTCCATATTATAAACGTAATATAGAAAATATAATTCCAGATTTACATTATAATCCCAAAGGCCAGAAATTTAAAAGCATCGTGACTTATATAGGGGCATTATTTTTATGACACACATTAACCAGCAATGTTACGATGTCAAGAAAATAACAGACAAGGAGTCCTCACAAAGGCATGTTTCGCTACATAAAACTTTTATCAACCACTTGTACAAGTAGTCTGACGCGAGGCAACTGCGAAAACATTGAAAAAAGCTTGCAATATGTTCTGCAAGGGAAAAATTCATCATCATCAACAGCAGGAAAAGGGCTGGAGGTGTTACTGAAAAGAGGACTCGACCGAGGCGAAAGAACTGTGTGACAGCTGACGAAACGCGTCGCTCGAGGATCGAAGGACAAGTTGGGGTGAACGAATATCGGACGTCGTCGTGAATTTTGCGAGATCATCCGGGGAAAAATGTCGTAGAAATTCGCAGAAATTCGCGACAGAAATTTTCATAGTCCGCGTGCTGCCATCTGGCCTCTGACATTAGGTCCGCTCTTGGCTATTTGGGAGCTCGCGGGACGTGTCCTACGTGTTCGAGAAGGAACGTCCCCGTGGCTCGATCCGCGATACCGTCCGCCCGGGACTCCCGGTGAAACATGCCCGGACACGTTTCCGGAGATATAATCCGCAAAACGAGACGGTCCCGCGTATTTTCCGCGGGCCCCGTCCGCCCGCGGGCTGAGTCAGAGAGCGCACGGAGCTCTCACGTACGTACCTTCATGTCGACTCATTTTCCGTTTAAAATCTCATATACGCCGAAATGGTCCGCGAGCCCCTCGCGATCGTACGCTCTGCGAAACGCGACCGCTCTCCAGCTGTCACTGCGCGTATACTCAGCGTCGTACAATTACGGCGGACACGGAGAAAACATCAATCGTCAAACAAAAAATTTCTCGTTAGAATATCCAGCGTAAAACCTAACCCAACTAGGCTGACGAACGTGACGTCACGTTAGACCGACCTACCTACCTACCCTTGCCCAAGACGCATATGCGCGCGCAGCCTACTGCGCAGCTTGCCGCCATTTTGGCGGGAAATTCGAAATTACAATTCGTATATTTTTCGAAATGTTCAATCTTCGAATATATTTATACAGGTTTCACAACTGTCATCTCTGTCGATGAGCAATCTTTATTTATTTTTATCACGTTTCTACCGAAATTATCATTCGATCGCTTTTCACAAAAAATAAATTTTATATATAAAATATATTATTATATTATTATTATTATATTATATATTATATGATTATTATTACATATATAATAATAATAATAATAATAATAATAATACAATATTATTATTATTATTATTATTGTATTATTTTATATATAAAATATTCAGATGACAATCTATAAATGCACAGTTCATGGAAATATCTGGTAATCTAGCAGTCTAGCTATCACTTTTTGCGACAGCTGCTCCGTGAGCGTTCGTGTCATTTTGTCATCAGTCGCAGAATTTTGGGGGTTCGGATTCGGATTATCAGATCTCGCGAAATCGTATCACACACACATTTATCGAACAATGGCCACTGTACTCGGACGTGTAATTATATACGGAGGCAAAGGTGCCCTCGGATCGGTTTGCGTATCGCAATTTAAAGCGCAAAATTGGGTGAGTAACAAAATTCACGAATGTTTTAATAGTCTCGTATTAATCTTGAATTAATCGCGTGATTATGTCTTATCGGTAGACGTTTTATAAATACACTTCAATATTCTATATTAAATAATATTACAAAAATGAAAATATATACATTATTAAATAATATGATCAACGTCAAATAAACTGAAACAAAGCTGCACAGAAGTCATATATCATTTTTATCCTCAATAATAATATAAATAATGGCTTGATAAGTGCACATTTTAATCTTTCTCGTCATAAAACATTTACAATAAAGATAGAACTAATTTTTTTCTATGTTGTATTAATTGTGTGATGTTTATAAGCCAATGTGTGTATGAATGATATATCATATGATTTAATGAAATAATTCTAAATGAAATAAACTCTTCTCAATTTTCCCATGATTTGATTAACTTTTAATAACATTAGATATTTTGCATAATAATACAAAATTCAAATATGGTAGCTAGACTTTTTCAATTTAATATATATATCTGAACAAAATTGATATATTAATAAGCATTCTATATATGTGTAATTGCTGTGATATATTATATTATAATAATAATACTGATATTTCTTAATATAATTATTAATTTTATTATTAGAGATAATTAGAGATAATATCTTAATATAATTAGAGATTTTAATTAAATGTTATATATATACTTCTGTAATGTATCTTTTTCTTAAATATATGCAAAAAAGTACATACCTATATCTAGAAGATATGGAGGTCATAAGATAAAAACTTTGTGTACCAAGGTTACTGTATATTAAATAAGACCTTTCACAGCCACTCCTTCTACAGATTGTTACTGTAATGATAATGAATATACATTTAGATAAATCACTTATTTTATGCTTAAAGCACAATTATTACATACTAATTATTTTCATAAAAGTGTCATTTATATCATTTTATTTATGTTATTATTAAATAAAATTACTCAATATATTTGAATTAAATTGGATAATTAATAAAATTTTTTTATATCACATTAATCACATTTGTAAGAAAAATATATTTTATACTGTATAATAATATTTCTTATAAAAAAATATTTCTTATAATAATTCTAATATTAGTTTCTGATATTATATTGTGTTATAATTTTAGTGGGTTGGCTCTATTGATATGAAACCAAATGAACAGGCTGATGCAAATGTACTTGTAAATCCTGATAATGATTGGCAGCAACAGGTAATTTTTTATTGTATATATGCAATCTTATATCATTAATATATTAAAATAATAGACATTATTTTTTTATTGTGTAGCAAACAGAAATTCTGACCCAGATTAAAACTACTCTGAAAGATGAAAAAGTTGATGGAATTATTTGCGTAGCTGGAGGATGGGCTGGTGGCAATGCAGCACATAAAGATTTTATAAAGAATAGTGATTTAATGTGGAAACAAAGTATTTGGAGTTCCACTATAGCCGCTAGCATTGCAACTCAATATTTGAAAGAGGGAGGATTCCTTTCATTAACTGGTGCAAAGGCAGCATTGGGAGAAACACCAGGTCTTTTGCTAAATAATATAGCATATATAGTCTTTTTACATTTTACACTAAAAATCAATTTTATTTGACCAGGTATGATTGGCTATGGTATGGCAAAAGCAGCAGTTCATCAGTTGACAAAGTCTCTAGCAGCTAAAGATAGCGGTCTTCCTTCCAATAGTTTGGTAGCTTGTATCCTTCCAGTTACTTTGGATACACCAATGAATAGAAAATGGATGCCAAAAGCTGATACCTCTACATGGACTCCACTTGAGTTTGTATCAAAGTAAGATAAAACTTTCTCACATCAAAAAAATAGATATCTTGTGTAATTTGAAATTTATAAACTTATCTTTGTCTGCAGTCTGTTTTGGAAATGGTCTCAAAATCAAGATCGGCCTACTAATGGTTCTCTCCTGCAACTCGTTACTAAAGACAATAAAACAGAGCTGACTGTTGCTTAAAGATGTCGAACAAATAAAATTCGTGGGAACAAGAATCTCAAAGCATTTATGACAATACATATAATAATACATATATCTCGCTGTCTATTGTTGCATAAAGAATCACATATATGTTCAGAGGCAAGTCCTCCTAAACACATCCTTATTTTTATATCAAAAATTAATGTAATTTCTTATTATCTACAAGTGTTTACTTCAGGATTATATATTTTTGTATATTGTTATAATGTTGTATAGATAATTTTTTTAAACAAATAATTGTTTACATAATATACATCCTTATTTTATATGTTATCAATGTGATATGTAAATATATGTATACTATATTGAATATGGCAAAAGAAAAAAGAAAAAAAAAGAATAGTTAATGCATCACATATTTTTATATAGATTTATTTTCCTATTTATGTACATAAATGTAAATTTAATAGAAATAGAAAGATAATATAATTGATAATTATCTTGATAACAGAACAATTTATGAGTAAATTGTAAAATATATAATAATATAATATTACTTAAATTTTATATGATACTCTGATTGTAAAATATAATATTGCTTATATGTTATTTATCTAGAATATGAAAAACTATATATTCTCAAATTTGCTAAATACAAATAGTAATTAGCTAAATTATAAAAAGAAAAACTAAGAATATATATATATATATATATATATATATATATATATATATATTGTTTCAATATCTAAATAGTATTGGTAATATTATTGTACAAAATTTTGATTTATTTTATTTTAATTTTTCTTTAGAATCTATATAAAAATATTAATGTATATATAATTTTAAATAATAATTTTTAGAAATCTTATAAAATATTGCAATCATAAATTGTATATTTAGAAAATAATTTTTATATCATTAAAAAAATTAAAATATATCTATTTTCAATAAAAAAAAAGAAAAAAATTGTTAATATTACAAATAAAGTGTGTGTCCAGAGTAAGTAATACATTTAACAAATGTCAGATAGCAGCCCGGATAGCTCAGCCGGTAGAGCATCAGACTTTTAATCTGAGGGTCCAGGGTTCGAGTCCCTGTTCGGGCGTTTTTTTTTGTACGAAAGAATATATATGTATACATGATAAACGTTGCTTATTATATTTATATATATATATATATATATAATTAAAGCATGTTATTTGTAATACAATTCTATTTTTTCTTCTCTAATAATAGATATATTTTAAGTTTTTTTAATGATATAGAGATTATTTCTTTTCAATATATATAATTTATAATGATTGCAATATTTTACAAGATTTCTAAAAAATAATACACAAGTATGTAATTCATTAGATATACATTATTTTCATAATTTTTATTTATACTTTTATACAATGTAGAGTTTACCACCTATAATTGTGTGATAAAATGATGTCGGAGCAATATGTCGACTAGTTTTATAGATACATAAATCAATCAACATTTTATGAATATATATATACTGTCTAACAAATTAAGTTCATGTTGCTTTGGGTGGATTGAACATTTCATCAAACATTTTTTGTTCCGCTAAAAAGAAAAAATTATATTTATAACATTTATAAGCCATCTTCATAATATAGCTATTTGAACATAAGCTATATTTATAACATATTATAAAGTACAGTATATTTACACAATATATCCTAAAATCAGATCCTTTTTAATTAATACACATTTTGCAAATATAAAATTAATATCTGAATAAAGCTTTGCATAAAATACTTTCAATCATAATTATTCTCGAAAATAAAAATTAATTCTTACAAAGAAACTTAAGACATTTTGATAGTGTAGAACATTCTATATAATATTTTTAATGTAACTTTATTATATATTATATATTAGATGTATATTTTACATATTAGATCTACATAATTAGATGTATTTTACCTATTAAAGCTCGTTTTCTTTCCTCCGCTAGTTGGGCATCGCGAACAGGTTTAAGCTTCAACTCCTCTTCTCTACGAGCATTTTCTCTTCTACTTAATCTACGCTGATGATACGCACCATAAACGATTCCAGTAAGAAGCAAACTCCAGCGGCAAAACTATAAATTAAAATATACACTTGTTAATACATTAAATAACTAAATAAAGGTAACAAAATTTTATGAAAAACATTAGATATAATATTAATAAAAGTTTCATATAATTTTATATATTTCAACAAATTTTCATGTAGACACTTCAAGTTTATTTCAGAGGTTAGAAAATTAATGATTACTAGATAAATTTTACTTTAATTAATATCGGAGCTACAAATTGCTGTGACAACATTAAAATCACTATTATCATTTTTTATACATATTTATCATTTTTATATATTTTTATAAAACGACAGAAAAATTATGTAATGAAATCAATGTTTGGTAGAGGCAGAAGGTACCGAGATTTCATTAGGATAATCACAAATAAAAATATACCTTATCGTAAAATAAAATATATGAAGATACAGAGTAATATATACGATAACGGAATATTTCGAAAAATTGTCTGTCTTACTTTAATAAAAGGAGAAACCCGCAGAGGTCTCGGATTCAGTTCGGCGGTCGACATCTTGTTCGCGGATAACGATCACTTGACGTATTCGTAAGTCTGCTTCTGCTCATGTCAGCGAAAACACGCGGATATTTCGATTGCAAGCGGAATTAATTACGATTGCACGTCGAATTGAATAATTTGAACTGATTGTAAGTAACGACAATTATCAACGATGAAAATATATATTTAAACAAAATATAATATTCACGAAATTATTCTTAGATATATAAAAAAACTAATTATAACCATAATATTTCCTTTTATGAAATAAATGTGATATTTTCTAGAATCTTTTATTATTTATTATTTATCTTCTATTAATTTATATAAAATATGATTATTTTTCTTCAACTTTTCTTTCATGCACAAAATTCGTGTCGTACTTTTGTTATTAATACAGTATCTTATTTTTGGAGAATAATTATAAACTTGTTGTAGCAAATATTAAAATATCAAATATATTAAACAGTCTAAGAATATTATTGCAAATAAAAAAATATATAATAAAATTTCTTTATCCTCGATGCGAATATTGTACGTAGTTCGGGATATTGCTTGCAGATGGCGCGTCGCGCAGTTTCGCGCGCGAAATTGTCGAGCGTCCCATCTAGAAAATCGCGCGCACCCAGGTCGATGGGGAAGAGAGGCATCGCGTTCGAAGCTCTCGGCAGTAAGTAAAATGGCGTCGTTATGGACGGTGATGTCGTTCGCGTTTTCCTTGCTACTGACACCCTTCCTCATGCTGTTGCTGGCGATTGTATTCCTCGCTTCCATCGGCAAGTCCCTCGGTGTACGTAGGCTGTACATCAAGCTGCTGCTGGCCCTCTTCGAGGTGAGTCTGATATTCTGGTGAAAATTTCGAATTTACAACCGGCATCCCCGAGTCCCCGAAATTGCATCGGCGACGTATAAAGTGCGTTTTTCGCGACATTCGAGAAGGTGCCGTCATCCAGCGAACTCCCGGTTCGTAAAATCGCTCCTCCTCGCCGGAAGAGCGTTTCCTGTATCGGTACTTTAGAAACACGTGTGTCGAATGCGAGTCGGTTTATAACCTTCCGCGCGTGACGTTGATATGCGTAAATTTATCGTTTTTACGCACATCGAACACGTATAATTAATAATAATCACAAAATATTGAAATTTTGCAACTCATGGAATAAAATTGTCTTCCGAGCAGTTTTTTTGACTGAATCATTTATCGTATTTATAATTCAACTATGATGTTTTTTCTCATACAGTTTTAATCGCACAGACGCAACGGTAGACTTGTGGTAGTTTTACTTAATTAGCGCGCGTCATACGCGTTTTTTCATACTTCGTATGTATTTATCTTGTAATTGCAACTTTAAAATATGACGTGAAAAAATATCGAAAAATATGTAAATGAATGAAATAGAAATTCTATTCAATGTTACGTGGGCTCGATTTATTTTTAGACAAAGATCGGTACGTGAAAGGATATGAATTTTTGCTATCAAACAGTTAATTTGTAATTGTTATATGTATATACATACATATGAATATTAATAATAATAAGTAGATATTTTAATTCACACACAATAAAACGATGTTAGAGAATAGACAAATTTAAAAAAATGCATAAACGTAATTTTAAATATTAGAAAAATATTCTTTATTTTATAAGACATTTTTTATATTGATAACAAAAGTGCAAAAATTATATATTAAATTCTAATTCATATGATGTAATTAAAGTAGGATCATAAATCGATCTTGAAATCTTATAATTAAATCCGTAACATCTAAAATTGTGTTGAGGTTTCTATTCTAAATCTCATTCTGTAACACAGTTGATTCGGCAGATTTGAGCACGTAATAATAAGTGTGCGAATAAAGTAGTTGTTGACAAAAATTATTTTAAGAGTGACCTTTGAAACTATTTTCATTAATGAAGTCTGTTAACATATCCGAATTATTATTACATGAAACATTAAATTTTCTAAAAATAAATATCTTAATTTTAACAGTCACTTAAAAGCTCATTGTCAGCCTCTCATTAAAATTCATAATATTTTAAAACACATTGAAAATGATATAAAAATAAATAATTACTTGTTACAATATAGAAAATAATAAGGTTTCTAAATTAGATATTATATATTATATTAATAATATATTGTATAAAATAATTATATAAAGTAAATCTTCTTGATCTACAAATTATTAACAAATGTGTTCTACGTTATTTCTCTCTCTTGTATTTAAAAAGTATATTGAATATAGTGATTTTGAATGACTTTAGATATAAAAAAATGATATCTAGAAGCACACTCTCTCGAACAAAGATTACCGAATATTGTGCATTTTCTTTTAATTACATACATTTATAGAAGCTATAAATTATAATAAAAAATTCTTTTCATTGTGTGATAACTTCAATAAAATACAGAAAGCTTAATTCACTGTAGTATTATTAGACTTTTTTAGAATAGTAAATTTAGAAATATTAAAAATAAGTAAAAAATAAAATTAAGAGTTTAACAAGGCTCTGTAATATAAATATAAATTTAAAGATATAAGACAGGCAGTAAGAGCCAACTCGCGGATGACAGTGCGTTATCCTAACGAAACTAAATTTTTCGTTAGGATTAAGTATCTGTGCACAAGGCACCAAATATTTTACTTGGTCACGGCCAAGATTTAAAATATGAAATAATCTCATATTTGAGATTTAATTTCAATAACCCTTTCACCCCCCTACGGAAATAAGTAAATATGCCTTGTGCACAGATACTTAATCCTAACGAAAAATTTAGTTTCGTTAGGATAACGCACTGTCATCCGCGAGTTGGCTCTTACTGCCTGTCTTATATCTTTAAATTTATATTTAAAAAATAAGTTTTCTTTTTCCAATAAGAAATAATTTAAGATCTTTAAAACTAAAGATTTCTTATGCATTAAATTAAAAAAAATTGTATAATTATTTTTGATTTAATTGAGAGTTGGCTTTATAAGGATTTTAATTTTTTATTATTTTTATTACTAATATAATTATAACATTGAAAAATATTTAATTCTAATAAAATATATTTAATTAAATTATATTATATTATTTTAATAAAAGTTTTTATTTCTTTTTACTCTTTTTATTCTTAATTCTTACATTTACTCATTTAGTAAAAAAATTATAGGGCTCGATGAGTCATTTATATTTTCAGGTATCTCTAATGTGTTTGCTAATATTGAAAGTAGGTATTATAAGATGTTTATATATCACACGTGTCTGATTCGTTCATTCATAAGCGTATTGACACATATCATTTCTATTTGCCTTTATTTTCTACACATATGACTTCTCCCTTATTAACCTTATTGACTTAACAATTGATTATTTATCTTATGATAACTCTATTATTTGAATTTTTCTTTACTACTAATTACAATAATTATTTTTAAATTAATTTAATTTTTAATACATAAATACAATTATAGTGGAAATTACGATTATTGATCATATATTTGCTTTTATTAAATACGTCCCTTTTTATCATTTCAAAATTGCAAATGATTACATTATCAATATAACCAAAATTACACAAGAGCTAGATATTCATGACCTAGATATTGACTCTGTTATTGAAGCACAATGGTTATATTATAAATGAAGATGAAATATGAAAGAGATGAAGGAAAGTTGAACCGACAGATTACGATCAACCATGACTTAATATCAGAGTCTGCTGCGAGAGAAATATCAAATCAAATTGCATTTACGGAAATTTTCTAAAATTTAACCGGATACGTGCGAGTCAGCTCTTATAAATCAACTGGCTGATATTACAAAATAGTGCTCAAACTATCTTTGATAAACGAATCAGGCAAATATCATCATCATTATTAATATACTCGTATGACTTGGTTTATAAACACTCAATTACCATTAATGAAAACACATCGTGTGTATTTCCGGCATGACTTTGTGATAGTAACTTTCTGTATTTTATTCGATATAAGCATGCGATTTATGCCTTAAGATAGTTACCTAAAATCAGAAATAAGTTAGTAAACGAAATCTGCCAAGATAACTACGAGAATCACACAGAAATAACTTGTTGACATTAAATAAATCGAATGCCAGAGGAGTGCAAGGGGATAGGAAAACCTACAAACTTGAATGCTTGAATGTAATTTGTATTTTGAACGCTTACTTAAGTCTTCTGTTTTTTTTTTCATTACACTCATATTAGATTATGATAGGTTGGAAGCGAAAAATCATGTGTGAATTTTATTTTGTGAAATACATTTAGATAAATTATTTTTTCCATGTCTTTATAATTCGCGTTTAATAGTACGAATTTGTAAAAAATATCGCAAAATTTCCTTTCATTAGTCTGTATTAGACAAATACACGTATAACTCAGTTAGTATCTACCTGATATTTCCAGTAAAAATGTGACAATTATAATAATTTATTAACATTTAATTATTAATTCACGAACTAAACAGAAAATCTTACTAGGTATATTTGATCAATTTATTCTGTCGAATGTGTGTGAGAGTGTGATGACGTACAAAAAATATTTTTTTACAACGTATTTTAAAAAAAATTTACTTTTTCGTTTCATAATTTAATATGATGTTATTAAAGAATCAAAAGTATTAAATTATGGAATTTTTTGGAATTTTTGGGATTTGAGATATTTATATAATCATTCACTTGTGTATAGTGAACAAACTTACCTAATTTTTAATGTATGTCTCATGTATTGACCGTGTAAAGTACATATCTAAAGTCTAAAATCGATATTACTGTCCGCGATAGCTTATAACACAGTGCAATTAATAGCATCTTTACTTTCATTTATCATAAATTTGCAAATAGGAAGAAAAAATAACAGATAAAAATTATAATCGAATATTATAATTTAATATTGTAATTAATTTCATCATATATAATTCTTTTTTTTTATTATAGGAATTTTAATTATTTACTTTTTATTTATATTCTTAGTTACAAATATAAAATGTAATATGCAATTTGTAATTAGGTGCAGTAAAAGTGTGTTGCAATACATGGTACATGTATAAAATGCTCAGCAGCAACATTATGAAATAAACATGCATTAATTTTATGTAAAATTTTATATACTGAATTAAACAACGCAAAATATTTTTACTAAAAATTTTTGGTATTAATATAATGATTAAGAATTGTAGTATTTGTATTATTTTAATAAGTAATGTAAAATATAAAAAACAAGCATATTGTTTATAACAAGCCATGAAATGAGAATACTACATAGTTTATACATTTTTATGATGAAGTTTATTGAAAAAGTAATTTCAATTACACGTGTATTTCGCAAGGTCTAAAGTGAAATGCTTGCGAAATTATGTACGTGCAGAAAACACGTATTAAGTATATATTCGGCAAATATTTTAGTACTGCCAAATAAATCATTTATTGGAAACTGATAATATTGATTTGATGTAAAAAATATTTATTTGATATAAGAAAATCTTTTTCAAAACAAATAATATTTATTTGTTTCAAATAATAAATGATTTATTAAGCAGTATTGAAATAAATATTTATTAATTTAGTCATTTTTTCCGGTGTATTAAATATTTGTATGATTTGTTCAATTAAATTAAAATTATACAATTTTATAAGAACGAAGAAACATTTAACATGTGTGATATCTCTTGATGTGAAATCATTCGAAGAATCTACAGTACTTTGAACCTTAGTCTGACTTCTTGTACTATGATGTCAGAAGCGATGAAAGCACAAGTAGAATCATTTTTCGTCATTGATTATCCTGGTTTCGATGAAAGGTCGATTTGTAAAGTTTGAATGGTAAACTTCAC